CGGGCAGTGTGGATGTATTTGCGTATTTTGTTCTTTCTTCCGCGTATTTTGTTATATTATGTTCATAACTGAATTGGAAAATGAATTTGCAAAAGACCTTTATGTTATCTGTGTTGAATCAGCTTGCCTAGTATTGTGATAGGCGCTATCACGACCGGGGTGGTTTGGGGTCGTGACAAAATTAAAGGATAAGATTCGTACGAAATGGTACAGGTCCGTACTAGGTTGTTATACACTTGTACCAATAGAATTCTTTACTACAATTAGGAATGTACTATATTGGGGTTTTCTCCTCCTATATAAAGGGGACCCCAATCATTTTGTAAGGATCATCTGATATTATTCTCCTGAAATATAACATTCTGCTCTGCCTTTATTGTGCTCAACAATTATTCTTCAGATTTATTATCTTTACTTTATTGTTCATATTTTATTGTTCTTAGCCGCCCTCGAGGACCCTGGGATAATCGAGCTCGACGTCCATATTGCTCTAGAAACACTAATTTGGTTCACCTTTTCTTCTTACTTAAGCTTAATATTACTTGTATAATCACTAGTATTAGAATATATCACATATCTTAAAAACCACAAATTATCTTTAATTGTTACTTACATTTTTCAAGGTAAACAATTTGGCGCCCACCGTGGGGCTAAAGATAATAGTGATTATTTTAGTGCTAGTTTTCTGATAACACACGTTATTCTTCACACTTTTTCTTGTCAAATATTTTTTGATTTCAGGCCAAAATATGTCTAGCACACAAAACGCACCAGCTCATGACAGTGAGGGACTCGGAGAAAACAGCGGTATAGGGGTTGGTGTACCACCCATAAACCCTGAGGGAATGCCAAATTTGGAGCCCGTTGATATCAGTTCACATAACGCTCTAAACACGGACGCAAGCATATTCGAGATGCTGCAAGCTCAGCAAGTCGCCATTGCACAACTTCAGAGTCAAAACAGAACTCCGAACACCGCCGAACCAGTGAACGCCCGGCCTACGGAACCTGCGCCTGATAGGCCCGATAAAAATGGCTCGGGGACTGATCCCGCTATTATGAAAATGCTCGAAGAGCTGACCAAAAGAATCGAGTTTGGAGAAAAGAAAATTGAAGAAAATGACAAAAGGGTGGAGACATACAATTCAAGAGTCGACCAGATACCAGGAGCACCTCCGATTTTGAAAGGACTGGATTCAAAAAAGTTCATACAAAAACCTTTCCCCCCAAGTGCGGCTCCAATGCCCATTCCCAAGAAGTTTCACATGCCCAATATACCCAAATACAATGGAACAAGTGGCCCTAATGAGCATATTACTCCATACACTTGTGGAATCAAAGGAAATGATTTGAATGACGACGAAATCGAGTCAGTATTGTTTAAAAAGTTCGGGGAAACATTATCAAAATGAGCTATGATCTGGTATCACAACTTAGCTCCTAACGCCATTGACTCATTTGCTATGTTGGTGGATGCCTTCGTGAAAGCACACGCTAGGGCCATAAAGTGGCCACGAGAAAATCGGACGTCTTGAAAATAAAACAAAGGGATGACGAGATGCTAAGGGAGTTCGTGTCCTGGTTTTAGATGGAAAGGATGGAATTACCACCGGTCTCCGACGATTGGGTGGTTCAGGCCTTTATGCATGGTTTGAATGAAAGAAGTTCGATAGCATCTCGAGAACTAAAGCAGAAGCTGATCGAATATCCATCTGTAACATGGTCGGATGTGCACAATCGGTATCAATCAAAAATTAGGGTCGAGGACGACCAGTTGGGAGCCCCCTCGGGCTTAGTTCATCCGAACAGGTTTGCAGCCAAGCCACCGAGGGACATAGATCGGGGGTCAAGATTCAACAAAGAAAGATATCAACCATACATCGAAGATAGAAGGAACGTTTCAAGGCATAATGCACCTCGGAATGATCGAAGAGTAGATCGAGGCCAAAGCTCCCGGGGACTTATAGGCAAAACTGGGTCCAACAGGCACTCGGGACCAGTGGAGGCACCCAGATTATCAGAATACAACTTCGGTGTCGACGCCTCAAGTATCGTCTCAGCCATTGGCAAAATTAAAAATACTAGATGGCCCAAGCCCATCCAGACAGATCCTTCTCAGAGAAACCCCAACTTAATGTGTATGTATCATGGTACTCACGAGCATAAGACCGAGGATTGCAGATAGCTTAGAGAGGAGGTAGCCCGACTATTCAACGAGGGGCACCTTCGTGAATTTTTCAGTGACCGAGCCAAAAACCATTTCCGACAAAGAGATGCAAACAGGAATGAACCCGAAGAACCTCAACATGTCATTCACATGATCATCGGTGGAGCCGACGTCCCACAAGAACCTATATTCAAACGTACTAAAGTATCCATCACAAAGGAAAAACGGGCTCGGAGCTATGTGCCCGAGGATGCTCTATCATTCAGTGACGAGGAAGCAGAAGACGTGTCCCATCCTCACAACGATGCCCTGGTAATCTTTATCCTTCTGAATAAAATTCAGGTTAAACGTATTTTAGTGGATCCAGGTAGCTCGGCAAACATAATCAGATCGAGGGTCGTGAACAACTCGGCTTGCAAGATCAGATTGTACCTGTATCCCGGGTGCTGAATGGCTTCAACATGGCAAGTGAAACAACGAAGGGAGAATTATCATGCCAGTAAACGTGGTCGGGACCATACAAGACACCAGGTTCTATGTCATCGAAGGCGACATGAGGTACAACGCAATCCTCGAGAGCCCATGGATACACAATATGAGGGCAGTGCCTTCGACTCTCCATTAGATGATGAAGTTCCCAACAGAAGAAGGAGTGAAAACAGTCCACATAGAACATCATGCTGCAAAAGAGATGTTCGCAATCGAGGAAGTGGTACCGATATCGGAACCCTTGACCTCAGAGACATCGAACTCCAAAGATAAGCAGGTGGCTAAGTAGTAGTCACAGCTCCGAGCCTCGACGGAAGCAGAATAACAGGTAACCGAAGGCGAAGAAAGGAATTCCCCAGATCCTCGAACCTTCGTTGTTCCCAATAAGCCCAATGCTATCAAGTCAACCGCTCAAGAGAAAGGTACATCTAGGAACGGGATTAATCGCACTCAGGGAAAAAATCATTTAGTTTCTTATTAATAACATTGATCGCATTGCTTTGCCCCGTTTAAATATGACAGGGATTCTGCTAGAAGAATAAACGGGTAAAATAATGAAAGCTTATATTGATGATATGATTGGTCAAGTCCCTGTGCGCAGAGGACCACTTTAATTCATTTGCGAGAAATAACCAACGTTTTGTAGCAACGCGGCACGAAGCTCAATCTAGAAAAACGTGCCTTTGGGGTTAGCACGGGTAAGTTTCCCAGCTTCATGGTGTCGGATCGAGGCATCAGAATCATCCCCGACCAGGTCGAGGCTTTCAAAGATATTACGATTGCGGATAGCAATATAGGACCGCATTAAGCCCTCAGAATCGTTGGTAAAGGATTTTACAAGCCCGACGTGAAGGGAGCTCTCAAAGGCGCATGATCTCGAAGACACCCTTTTTACACGAAGCCTTAGGTTTTAAAGCATACGTTACACTCTTTTTCCCTTGGCTCGGGTTTTGTCCCAAATGGGTTTTATCGGCAAGGTTTTTAACGAGGCAACAACTATGTGCTGCCTAAGGAAAACTCAACAATATCCAATATTTCTTTTTAATCAGCCTCGGATACTAGGGGCATCACCCTCGGAGGTTACATTTTTGAGAAAGACACTTCACGCCTAAGAGGGTCTCGATAGGAGAACTTTGTAATGGGCCAAACGGTCAAACGAACCGTGCCCATATAGAATAGCCGAGTCCCGACGGCAAAACATGTACGCATGTATCAACTACTTAAAGAAAGCATGCTGGTTACATCAAAGATACTTTGCGTCTCGTACAAGCTCTACACTTACAATCCTATGGGAAACGGCTTAAGAGCCAAAACATAGAAGCACCCCGAATACTCGGGGACTATCATCGAAAATCCGAAATTATAAGACCTCAAAGAGACACCCCTTTGAAACAAAGGCCAAGGCCAATATTCTCGGGGACTAACTTCGCGAACAAGTTCGGAAAGTTATCGGGAAACAAGTCCAAGTGACTTACCCGAAGGCTACGGCCATACTAAAGACTACGGTCATATAAAGGATACGGCCAAATAATGCGGCTCGGAGACGTCAGACTTTTGCTATAAATTAAAGGCCTTCAAACACTTTGTAAAAACCGGTTAAATCAGGCTATCCATGGCAAAAGCAAAATACAAAGGGCTTCGATAAATTCAGCCCTCAAAAATTCCAAGGGTGTCGATAACATCGACCCTCGAAAATACCTCAAGAGGTGTTCGATTATGTTTACACAAAGAAATCACTAATAAGGTTCCAATATGTCAAACCTCCGCAAAACCTACAGGTGCAAAAAACGTATGCTAGGGCATAATTAAAATTTCACTAAGTCTTTTAAGCCAAAATGAGGGAAAAATTATCTATCCATTCTAAGAGCCCAAGGGCCAACTTAAGGAGCCTAAGGGCCAATTTATAAGAGCCCAATGGCCAACTTAAAGAGCCTAAGGGCCGATTTATAGGAGCCTAAGGGCCAACTCAAAAGAGCCTAAGGGTCGATACATAAGAGCCTAAGGGCCAACCTCGAAAGACTTAAGGGCCTAAAACTTGTATTTCGAAACTCCGCTTTCATTTTGATTCGGACTCGAGGTTCACAATATCCCGAGCTCACAACGAACTGGTTTAGACTCAGCTCGAAAATTATTATACCTATCGATAAAGATCTAAGGGTTTATATTACCCCGAACCATTCCTCGGAATAATCATTCAAGCGAAGTTTTCCATAAATAAAGGCAATGTTGAATAAAAGCAAAGTTAAAGATGAGATAAAAGGTTCCCCCGTATCTCCAAAAGATGATTGCAGGAAATATTTACACAAGGAAAGTTTACAAGGAAACAAAATAAAGTAACCTATAACTACTTCGGGGTCACATCCTTAGCAGCTGCATCTTCAGGAGTCACATCTTTAGGAGCCTCGCCCTCGGGGACTTCATCCCCGTCTCCTTCACTCTCGGAGACACTGGCTGAATCATCTTCATCGGAAAGCAGAACGGCCGTCTCTTCTTCCAAAATCTTCTCCGCTTCAATATCGCTGAAAGATCGAAGCCGCGAGCATGTATCTCCTCGAGGGTCATCCTCCGGGATTGTCTCCTACCATGGTCAAGGGCACTTGATAACTTAGCCTCCGTAGTAGAAGAGATCTCCTTTTCCCGAGCATTAGCTGCTTCGGCATCGGCTCAATACGAATTTATAATTGCCGCATCATTGGATTTGGCCTTGGCCAGCTCAGCAGCAGATCTAGCTTTAAGCTCCTCGATTTAGAGGCGCCGAGCTAGGTTCTCCTCCTTCGCACCTCGAAGCTGGCGTTCGGGCGAAGCTAACTGCTCTTTTAAAGTTTCCTTCTCAGAGGCGAGATCGTCCATACCCTGCCTCCACCTCAGGGCCTCGGCTTCTTTCGTCTTAAGCTCCTCCCGAAGTTGCGCCTCCAAATCAGCCTTCTGATAGAACTGCAAAATTAAAAGTGTCAGCTACCAAAACAAAGAAAGTACGTAACAGACCCTCAGGAGCTATATTACCTTCTCAACATACTCGGCTCGACCTTGGCACGCCTGCATCAACTCGACTCGAAGATCATAGATCTCTACCTCTTTCTTAGCATAAAGGGCTTTGACGGCGCCCCTCTCCTCTAAAGTATTCTTAAGTTCAGCCTCGCATCGAGCAAGATCGTCTCGAGACTTGGAAAATGCCTTTTTATGGAGCACCACAGCCTTCATGAAAAAGGAGGAAAGACAGATTCAGAACACCTAAAACAAAGGTGGAGGCATAAAAAACAGAAAGCTCACTTGTTTAAAGAGTTTACGAGCCTCATCAAAAATGAAAGAAGCATCGGGGTCGGGGCCATCTTCAAGCCCTACGAGACATTCTTGAAAGATGTCATGCCCTTCATGACTTGCTTCCACCTCAGAAGACCTCATATTCAGAGCCTCCTGGATTTGTCCCTCGGAGAACTCGGGGCCAGGAGGAGAATCATCCACGTTGATCACCCCGAGAGATCCACTCGGGGCATTCTCTTTTATTTGAAGAGGCTCGGGGTCAAGTTGTTCGGCATCGCCCTCATAATGATCTCCTGAGCGAGGCGCTTTCTTTCTGGACGATGGTTCGGGGACTTTGTTTGAACTCCCTTCGGAGATTGCTTCGGCTCTGGAATGAGCCAGATCAACCACTACTGGTTCGGTGGGCTTCAAAGCATCGACATTTTTTCTTTTACGGTTTACCAGCAGGCAATCGTCATCTTCTTCTTCCTCCTAGTCCCGAAGTTGTTGGGCCATTTCTGGAGATAAGGCCATTGCATCTGCCTTAGGCCTTCGAGCCAAGCTTTTCTTTAGCTTCGGGGGATTTTCAGATGACTCTCTCCTCTTTTTTCTTTCTTTGGGAAGCTTCGGAGCCTCCACTTCACCAGTTGGGCCCGGCCTCAATTCAATGGCGTCTCCAAGACCTACGTGAAATCGAGATCAGTATCCCGTAATAGAAATACTAAAAAACAAACAAGAGAACTCACCATGGTTTTTTGCCTCCCATCGACCCTTGGCCACATCTCGCCAGCAACGCTCCGAGTAATAAGAGGCGGAGGCCAGCTTTCGGACCCAGCCCTCGAGGTCCGGGACCCCACCGGGAAACCAAGAAGCGGCTACACCATCGTAAAGAGGTTAGATCGAAGAATATAAAGTCGGAAAAGAAAAGAAATCAGGGTATACTCACGTTTCATGTTCCACTCCTCGAGGAACAGCATCCAATCAGCAGGAATCAGATCGGAGGTCTTGACTCGGACAAACCGGCTCATCCACCCACGTTCTTTGTCCTCATTGATTCTAGAGAAGAGGGATTTTAAAGATCGGCATTGCAATTTTATCAAGCCCCCACGATAAAGTCGGGGACTGGTCAATCTGATCAGATGATCGAGGGTAAAAGGCATTCCCTCGATTTGGTTCGAAAAAAACTTGATTAAGTAAACGATTCGCTAGAAGGAGGGGTAGATCTGGCCGAGCGTCACTCGGTATCATTGGCAAAAGTCGAGGATAACTGGGTCTATTGGACCCTGAGCCGGAATTATAGGGCCCAACGTAAATGGGTAAGTATATACACTCAAGTACCCTGCTTAATATGTGGTGATATCCTCCTCAGGGGAAGGAATCACTATTTCCTTATTGTCCCATTTGCAATCCTCCTTTACTTGCTTGAGCTAGGCCTTGGTCACCAAACAAACATATCGAGACATGGGCTCGCATCGGCCTGGTGTCAAAATAGGTTTTTCGATTTTGAAATCGGATGTTATCTCACACGGCGGTGGGATGCATTCCTCGATACGAGGTGACACTACCAGTTTACTCTTGGTCGATTGAGAAGATGAAGGAGCTTTTTCCTTTTGAGGAACAAATTTAGAAGTTTTAGCCATCACTATGCGGTAGATCCAAGAAGGTGAAAAATGTTGTTAGTAAAGAGAAGGGAGAGCTCAAGGAAATTGACAAGGGCTAAATGAGACTTTGAAAGCAATGTGGGAATAAAGTTTGTAAGGTTGTGGGATCTATCTATTTATAAAGGTCATTTAAGCATGCTGAGGAAACCAAAAGGTAGACCGCCAGCCGCCTCCAATTAATGATTTTGGGAATCGTACAAAAAGCAACTTTTCAGTCACTTCAACCACTTATGTCATGATATTGGCATCAGGACCAAGGCATCGGGAATTAATTTGTCAAAAATCATTAAGGGCAGCCTACAAGTCGAGTTCGAGCAAATACTCACTCGACTATTGAGCTCGAGGGCTACCCGAGTTCGAGCAAATTCTCACTCGGAAACTATCTATAAAGCCTAAGGGCTATCTTTATTTAAAGTTCTAGCAAACACTCACTCGACTATTGATCCCGAGGGCTACCCGAGTTTGATCAAATTCTCACTCGGGGACTATCTATTAAGCCTAAGGGCTATCTTTATTTAAAGTTCGAGCAAACACTCGCTCGACTACTAATCCCAAGGGCTATCCGAGTTCGAGCAAATTCTCACTCGAGGACCACAAAAAGGTTTAAGGATTAGCTTCATTTCGAGATCTTGCTCTCACCCAACTCGAGCCCGGGGATCATGATGTTCGGGGTTCACATTTAAGCTCAACTCGAATATTAACGAGAACCTCGAGGGGAATATATTAAAAACCTAAGGGTTTATTATGTTCTAAGCTCGATATTTGGGCTAGCTATTGAAACCATCTCATCAAAGTCTTTTACGAATAAAGATAGGACAACATTCAGCATGAACCACAAGGGATACAAAGGGATCCTTTTTTGCTTCGAAGAAATATTTACAAATTACAGCTACGGCACCCAAGAAGGATGCTTACACAGAAGCAAAGAAACAAAAATCAAAAGCCAAAGAACCTAATCCACTTTAAAGACTACGTCCTCGAGAGCATCGTCTTTCCTCGAAGACATCATTCCAGATCTCTGGGAACGTATATATGGGACAAGAAGCCCTCGATAAAAGTAAATATATCTCCAGCGGCCGAGATCGAGCGTTCCAATGAAGTTTTGGGCCGTAATACATTAAGAAAGAACAGGCAAAAGGAAGAGGCAAAAGGGGGGGGGGGTGCAAGGTGCACAAGCAATAGTCCAAGAGTGGTCACCGCCGGAACTCTGTTCCGGTGTGGGATGAAAAAGTTAGTAGATGATAGTGCCACCTCATTCCATGGAAAGCAAAGGGGATGAAGCGTCACACCAAGTTGAAGATAAAAGGAGATGAGCAACAGTGTAAAATTCGCATATCTTCTTTACGGAAGGGACCCGGTGCCTTTCTCCTGTTGTCTCGAGCCGAAGCTCTGATAAAGGAACCCTTGGCGTAACTGGTAAAGTCGCTGCCATGTTACCTTGTAGCCACCAGTTTGAACCATGGAAATAGGTGGTTAGAGGAAGAGGTAAAGAAGGGAAAGGACTAAAGGTAGATGAAGAAGGAATAAGTGTGGTTGTTGTCCAGCAAAACAACCTCCTATTTATAGAAAGCCAACGACTGAACCGGCGGCGCAAGTGGCCGACAAAGGCTGAAATGTATTTGACATTCCGGGGAAGCACACTGACATGACATTTCCGGTCACTTCAAACGCCTACGTCACAGCCATGACGTCGTCACAAGTGGTTCGGGTGAATCGAAGTTTGAATCGTTTCTTATCATCTTATTCTATGAAACGCGGGGACTATCTGTATACGGTCAAAATCGAGGAGCATGATTTTGAAGTCTTAAATCGGGCTATGGGTTCGAGTCCGGGAGACTCGAAGTGGAGGTCAGATCCGGCTAAGGGACACATACCTCGAGGAAGCTGATCGAAGGTCTGGTACGGCCTACATTGAGGGCAGTACAATCTCGAAGTCAATCAAAAAAGAGCGAGAATTTCTCAAGGGCACGTGGATCAGGGCACAAATTAAAGGATTAGATTTGTACGAAATGGTACAGGTCCGTACTAGGTTGTTATACACCTGTACCAATAGAATTCTTTACTACAATTAGGAATGTACTATTTTGGGGTTTTCTCCTCCTATATAAAGGGGACTCCAATCATTTTGTAAGGATCATCTAATATTATTCTCTGCAATAGAACATTCTGCTCTGCCTTTATTGTGCTCAACAATTATTCTTCAGATTTATTATCTTTACTTTATTGTTCATATTTATTGTTCTTAGCCGACCTCGAGACCCCTGGTATAATCGAGCTCGAGGTCCCTATTGCTCCAGCAACACTGATTTGGTTTACCTATTCTTCTTACTTAAGCTTAAATTACTTGTATAATCACTAGTATTAGAATATATCACATATCTTTAAAATCACAAATTATCTTTAATTGTTACTTACATTTTTCAAGGTAAACACACGTTATTAAACTTAAATATTCCTATATACATAAATAGATCTGCATGTCCTAACCTATCCTAGGAACACTGAAACATAAAAATTCCTATATTTGACAACACCTAATTATATTGTCCGAATCGTAAACTAATACCAATACCTCTTGGAATCCATTCCTCTTACAAATTTAATAATTTAAAAACTTATTCTATTGTCTGAATCCATTAGGAATAAGGACTCAAATACTTCTATAAAAGAAGCCACTATTCTATATTCTCCGTCATAAATTTTTTGAGAGGTATTACTCCATAAGAAAATTCTGCAACAAAAGGTATTATTTCATCCTCTTCGCTTACTATTGGTTAGACCTCTATCTCTATGTTACTAGCTATTTATAACTAGCATTATCAGTACAAGTTGCCACCACTCATTAAGAAGGTTTTTCCTTTTTAATTAAGTGAATCAACCGTATTAAATAGTAAAAATTATTTCATCTTTAGAGAAGATATATATTGTTTTGCAGCTAATTCTTAGTTATTATTACAGGTGTTTTGAGAATGGTACTGAAATCAAATTTGGCGAAACAATTTGTACCTATAAATAATCTAAGAAAGTCCGATGTTGAATGGGTGATATAGGTATTAGTAATTGGAAAAGGACCAATAATAGAATATAAAACGAAAGAGGTGAGGGTTCGCGGCTGGAGTTGATATTTGTGGACGAAGAGGTATTCGTTTTTATATTTATATTATATTTCTTACTTATTTTATTATTTTCTATTTAACATCAAATTATATTCGAATAATTTTATAGGGAACAAAGATCCAGACGGTACTTTTCAATGAATATGTTATAAAGTGAAAAAATTATTGGAACAAAATAAAAGCTATTATATTATAAATGGCCGCGTGAAGGATCCTAACTCTAACTATTTATCTGTGAACAAGGAGTTGGAGATATCTTTTACCCCTTATACTATAGTTAATGAATGCGATAGCTATTTTTCCACATCAAAATTTTTCAATAATGTTCTCTCTTCAAGATGCCACCACAAAATCCACTCACGGCTTATTATTTGGTACGTACCTTTCCTTTTCACCAACTTAGAAACTTACATGTAATTTTTCTTTTTTCATTAATGTACTTAATAATTACTTTATAACTTACATGTAGTATATATATATATATATATATATATATATATATATATATATATATATATATATATATATATATATATATA